GCAGCTCTTCCCACCAGGACAGACGCCGGGATGTGCAGCAGCACTTACCGTTTCTCCACGGCTGCCCTTGTCTCCCTTCGGACCCTGTCACACACAAGAGAGCACGATGAGCGCTCGCTGCCTGCCTGGAGGCATTGCCACCTGGAAGCTTTTTGCAAAGACCCAGGCACGGCTCTAGGCAAATCAGCCCAGGTTGCCCTACAGCCCTCCTCCCCTCCACCAAACATACAGAGAGGAAAAAAAAATATAGCCATTACTGGACATTTGGCAGATTAAATGTGGAATGGGCACAGAGAAGTGTCTCTCCATACACATCTGGGAAGCTCCAGCACACATGGAGCAAGGGGTTGGGACTGTTTCCCTTGCAACTGCAGGCACCGAGTCGCTACCTTCCTTGGCTGCTGTGAACAGCAGGAGCCACTTGCTGCCTTTTGGGCACGCTGACCCATGAATCCCAAGCACGGACGAGGTCTGAGTTAATCTTACTGGTTTCCATTTCTGTCAACATCAGCTTCTTTCTTCTCAGCTTTGAGTAACTTTATTCTCATGTTTTTATGAAGCATTGACCTGAACTTTAGTCTGTGCTCAGTGCCTTTGGCATTTCAGGGCAGGCAGGGTAGGAATCCCAGGGTGGATTTTCAACACTTCCCAGAATCCAGCTGTTCCCAGTTTAATACATTTATCAGATTTTTTTTCCCTGGGGCCTCCCAGGCTGAGCCATTTGGAAAATCTGGCAACTCACTGTACTGCTTACATTGCCTTTGGAAAAAACCTTCTGAATAGCATTCTTGCCTGTTTGTGCTACAGCTTCTATCAACCCAGAGTTGCTCCTTACATATAAGTTAATACCTCTGCTTCCCACCCAGTATCTGTGCAGCTAGGGACTAAATCTGCACTTCTCTCAAGCTGTTCATCTTCAGGAGAGTTTGTTTTGCCCATTACAGCAGGACCTGGGATTTACTTATACTGGCCTCAAGCAGCTTGGATCTCAAAGATTCTTCTCAAAAATACAGGAAAAAACAAACAAACAAACAAAAAAAAACAGAGGTAGATACTCACTGGACTTCCCGTGGGACCCAGAATTCCAAGTGGACCAATAATTCCTTCTTTTCCCTAGAAAAGACAGGCACCCATCACGTGGGAACCCACAGTCTCTTTTACCAAGGCTGATCCTGCAAGAACACTGAGTATCTTGCAGCCTTTCAGTGCTGTGATCACCGTTGCTGAAACAAAACCGCTTCAAAGACAGGCCCAGAGAGAAGAGCCCTCGCAGCACGGGTGCCACAGCCCAGCCGGAACCTCGGAAATTGCAGAATCAGAAGGATTTCACCCACACATACGCTGTCCCCAACGGCAGCCCAGCCCCGTGCACGTAGCCAGGGGTGAGCGCGGGGGTTGGACTGGTACCGGGGCCGTGGCTCGTGGCCCAGCGCCCCGGCCAGCCCCTGCGCTCTGCTCGTTACGGCACCCCGGAGCCTCGCAGGAATAGGGGCCGCGGGAAGGAGGGAGAATCCACGCAGACAAAACAAACCAAAACCCACTCACCATGAGGCCGGGCGGCCCACGTGGCCCCTGAATGCCTTTGAAACCGAGGTCTCCTGGGGGCCCCTGCAAGCAGAGAGGAGATGCCAGGTGCTGGTAATGCCTGCTCCCAAAGTGGGGCCTTGCTTGCAGCTCTGCTACATGGACAGAGGTGCCACCTCTTTGTGTGGGAATGGGAAGGGCCAATTATTAAAAATTCTTTTCTTGCTTCTGTTTTGTGAGCCCTTTGCTCCCTTCAGCAAACAGACTGGTTGCCCTTTCCCTGAGAAACTCTACCCAGGGCACAGAACAAGGTGAGGCTACATTTCCAGCCAAGACTTAACATGAGGAGCACGTACCAGTGTCACCGGCACCAACCAACGACTCACACTGGAGATGCAAACATCTCTGACAAAGCGAGAGCAACAAAGAAATACAAGTTGGCAGAACCACTTTGGGATACAGGACAGGCATTTTCCCGCAATTATTACCCATTTAAACACGGCAAAGCTCCATCAAACCATGTGTAAATGCACACTCAAGGATTACTTCAGAAATGAAGATGCATAAACCAAAGGAAGTTGGAATCACGGCTTAGTTTCAAGAGTTCTATGAAACTACTAATAAAAAATTTGCATCAAGGATTTCATGGTCTGTCCCCAGTAAAAAAGAGGTTAGAAAACCAACAAGGCACAAGATATTCTCTTACCTTTGGCCCAAACATGCCTGCAATGCCTGGAAATCCTGCCTCACCGAAGTCTCCCTGGATATGACAGCCAAGACAAATACAAGAACAAAGGAAAACATTAGGTCAACATTGAATGGCTGGTCACTCAAAGCCACTCCAAAAGTTCAGGAGCTTCAGGGGAAAAAAATCAAGTAGTATTTTTCAGTGCAAACAGAATCAAGACAGCAAAAAGTACAAAGGAAACCTGAGGGTGGAATTACAAAAATGTCAGGCTAGAAGGAGCTCCCGAAGGTCTCACGGACTCAGCTCCCTTCCCAATGGAGACACGAGTTGCACCTGCAGTGTTTGCAGTAGACGCTTGGCTAGTTTGTCCTGAAGCATTGATGGTGAAAGAGATGTCTCCCTTTCCCTCCAACGCTGCCCGTGTTTCAGTGCTCTTACTGCTTAAGCTTTCTTTAATGTCCAGTCATCTAAACTGTTTTTGATGCAATCTAAGTGATTTCTCTTTGAATTTCTCTCCAGTTACAGGCTAAAATTCAATCCTCCTCTTTGATTAACATGTTACCAATGATTCTCTGCCCTCGAGGTGCTGGAGGTAAAAGGGGATTGCTTGAAGCATAGTCAGCAGAAGCAGGATGGAAATATTCTCAACATTGGCCTCAAAACCCTTTAAAGCAAGCTCTTCTTTTATTCTAATATCAACTGGAGCAACCAACTAAAGAATAATTTCAAACTCTACTTGCTCAAGCTGTCAAAAAAGTGCATGTTCTTACCACATAAACTCCCCCCCGCCCCAAACCAGGAAAACTGTGCATATTCCCCAATTCTTTTCTGTTTCAACCCTTCAGGGATTTTTGCTCAATTTCTCAAGAAAAATAATAATAAGATAGTTGGAAGACCACCAAGTTTGGATTAGCACATAGCATGCACTCTCAGAATAAAAAAACACACTGGGTAGAATGCCTTTACATAAACACCCTCATTTCATCATGTTTGAAATTTATGTCCTTTGATATTTGTGGGTTTCCCAGATGTGAAAATGCAAAGTGATTCACCATTGCGAGAAAAAAAAGACAGAAACATACACCGGATGACTCATCCACACTCTTAGGAACTTAAGTGATGGAAAAGGTTTGCTTGGCCTCTTGGCTGGACTATGTGACCATGCTGGATTGTACTTTATGGGATGTTTTACAATGTCTCATTCAGCCCAGTTGTAAATGACTCAAGAAATGGGGTTTCCACCACCTCTATTACAAGGCTATTCCAGAGTCAATCTATAGACCTCTGTTAGGAAGTTTTTTCCTGCCCCAGTAGTGAGAAACAGCTTGGCAAGAATGGGCTTGTTTGGAATCGGTGGAGCATAAGGAACTTTCCAAGGATACAAGATGATTTAACTACCCATCTAGGGATTCTGGAAAGCAAACATGCTACTAACAGAGGGCCAAGGTCTTTCCTGCGTTAGGAGAACTGACCAAGCTATCTTTCTAGAGGAATTTATGACAGAAGTAAATGGAAAGTTGGAAGAGGTTTAGAGAAATCTCAGATCCACCCCTCAGCTAGTGGCACCTGATTGATATTTATTAATCAGGGTAAGCGACTACAGTGTTGGGCAAATTAAGCTGCTACAGAAGAGAAAAAAATGATATTCTTGGGCTGTTGGCTAGTTCCTTTCAGCTTGGTTGAATACTGTCATCACAGGGTTTGATAGAAAATATACAAACATAGAGACTAGCTTTGGGTGAGGTAGCTGGGAATGAATCTGCATGCTGGTCATTAATTAGTCACTGCCCTGAGCCCGGTGATGCACAGGTCACACACATGGGCTAAGCCCTTGGCGTCTCCTACGGGCACACGCAGCAGCCCAGGACACTGTGTGGAAAGCAGGAACAGGGGCAGCTCACGATCGGTGCCAGCCTCAGCTCTCCTTGGCCCTTATTTCATGTCACTCCTAATCTTTCTTCTCCTAATACTAGTTTTATACTCTTGGCTTAACTACATCACCTATTGGTGGTCATCTTCTTGAGATGCTTAGCCTCTCAAGGGCTGCACATGTCTGCATTTTTCATATGGCTGGAAACCTCACTGCTGCAATGAAGAGATAGAGCTGATAAGAGAGATTTAAAATAGCTCCTGCTTCAGTTCCTGGTTTCTAAAAGTATCTTAATAAGTGATTCTACAGAAATTTAGTAGTTAGAATATCCTCTGTACAAGTAAGCACTATTCTTGACCTAAAGTGGTCCCAGTCTAAATAGCTTATGCATTTGCAATATAGCCTCAGTCTGATGAAGTGCAACACACAAATGCACACACCTATCTCCAAAACAGTTACCTAATCTTTAGGGATTTTACTTGTTTTACTAGCAGGACTGTCTAGCCTTAGGTTCTGCTTTTACTGAGGGCTCTCAGGATTTCCCCCGCTGTGCTCTGACCTCACAGCTCCATTGCCTAAGAGACCACACCAGGACATCTCTATGTTCCCAGTCTTCCTGTACAGCCCCCAAGGAGTCACCTGCTGCCCCATGTACTTTTGGGATAGTTTGGATTACAGAGCCCACTTTTGAAGTCCACCTCTCCAAACTTTCTGCACTCTATGTCCCTATCATAATGTTTCTCATCAGAAACACTGCTGGAGAGCCTGTTTGATAGGGTTCTGTGTACCAGCTGCCAGCCCTTGTCACAGCCTTGTGGCTACAGGAACGATGATATGAACAGTGCGACCGTGCTGTCTCAGGGAACACGGGCACGGGTCAGACCTCCCTTGCACAAGGGAGTGCTGAAGAGCAGCCAGGGGTGCACACTGGAGGAACTCTGCTGACACACAAGCCAAGCATCAATTCTCCTGTGAGAGATTGTCTTCTAGGTCAAACCTGCTATCCAGGTCTGCAGATCTAGGTCCTCTTCACACAGAAAATAGATTAAAATCAACTCTCATCATTTCAATTGATCACTAACCGGCTGTCCTTTGGGTCCTGGATCACCTGGGCTCCCTGGAAGCCCTGTTCCGCCTGGTGATCCTCGCTTCCCTGTTTGGCCAGTCTGTCCAGGCAATCCTCTTTCACCCTAAAATAACAGAAACCAAGTAATTCCTAAGAACAGGAGCTAAATATAGCAACATTCAGCTGAAATAGCCATAGAAGGAAAGCTGGAAAAAAGGGCACAGTAGGATAAGCAACATGGTTTTGTCAGGAGACCCCTCAGGTCTGTGAATGTGGATCGTTGCGGGATATGCACTGTGAGACCCTTGCTGCGTTTGGCTGTGTCCCCTCCTGTGCTCCACACAGAGCAGGAGCTCTCAGCGGGGCAGTACTGCCTGTTTGGAGCTAAGGACTTCAACTTCTGTTTGCACTTCTGTATGCTGCCTGTCCTGCCTTGCAGTTTCTCATAGCAATTGATGATTAATCCATCTAAAATGTTGAAGACATTCCAAGGTTTCAGCTGAAGAACCTTAATCCAAGGCAAAGCCAACATTTTCCCTGGCACCAACCCTGCAACTCAAGGACAGCAGAGAGGTGCTTGAGACTCACCACTGCACATTGTGCCACAGTCCTCTACCTTGCAAAGCCCCAAGAGCAATGCACACCCAGCTGCACAGACCTGGGGCAGCCTGTGCTGAGGAGCGAAGAAAGCGAGTGCTCAGGCTCTGGAAAAGGGGCAACAGATTCCCTAGCAGCAATGGTGTGAGCCTGGCATAACCACTCAAAGAGTCTGTCAGTCACTTTTGGTAACAATAAGCCTGTTATTCTACCCAAGGCAGCTGGAGGGCAGCAAGTGACAGTAGGAGTGACATGTTAGACATAATTTATATCAGATCTGATGGCCTCCCCAAACATATCTAGAGTCTTTCCAGCCACACTGTCTTCCTACAAATGGCTAAATTGCTGCTGGCCCAGTTCCTATGGGCTACCTGCACAAGATAAAGACCAGTAAGAAATCCCAAGGGCACTAAAGAAGGTTTTCCCTGCCTCTTCGTGTCAGAGCAATGCCCGAGCTCCTACTGGCTCCAGCAAGTCCAAATCTGTAAATACATGCTAAGGAAATGAGCAGTTCAGACTTCCCATCAGCAGTTCAGGCCTCACAGGGAGCAGCTGGGGGATTCCTGAGTTTGCAGCAGTCATCTATCCTGGATTTCCTACAGGCAGGGCCATTGCAACTTCTCCAAGGCTACATACATATATATATGTTTTTTTCAGTTGGGTATGTACTGAAATGAGGTTGGAGCATTTGTAGCATGGATATGTGTATCTGGAGACTCCTGAACTCAGTTAACTTTGACAAAGGAATAAAGGTCTCCAGGATATTCAGCTTCTAGAGCTTTCATTAAAGTGGATGGCTGGATGAGGAGAAAGACCTATGAAGCTTCCAGCTAAGTGAAAGATGGCAGCAAGAGTTCAGCTTTATTAGAGCCTAGAGAATCCAAACTCTAGATTAAAACCCCAAGGAAGCCAGGCTCACAGAATTGCGAGGAGCAGTATCTTACGGAATCAGAAACTCACCTTAAATCCTGGTGGTCCCTGTGCTCCAGGAAGTCCTGGTATTCCTGGGTTCCCTCTTTTGCCTGACATCCCTGTTACACCTTCTTCCCCGTCATCTCCCTGCTCTCCCTGGAAAAGAGACGCAGCAGAAGTTAGGGAAACAAAACACTCTCTCCACCTGTGCACACCTGCTTGTGCAGGGACAGGCGAGCGCTGTGATTCTGCCTTCAGCAGCATCTTGGCACGGGTGGGTTTACAGACACATGCAGAGATCTGTGCACGTAAGCGCCTGTCAGCCAAGAAGCATCATTTTGTGTGCAGACTTGGCCACGCAAAGTCATCTGCCTGCCTCTGTGTGCATGCAAGGTTTTAAGAGCAAGACACGATCCACTCTGGCTACATATAAAAGAGATGGATAGCTATATAGCTTTATATTCTACGAACATAGCATATAAAATAATCTACAGTTGAACTATATCCACTTGTCCTGTGTTAATTTTTAGTTTTCCAGCTCTTAGTTGCATTTGGTGCTATGAAATTACAATTGCAAACTCACCAGCGTCCCAGGCACGCCGTCCTTCCCGGGCACTCCGTCCACTCCAGGGGCACCCTCCTGACCCTGCCTGCCCACCACTCCTCTAGGTCCTGGTAGCCCAAGGGTGCCCTAAAATCACAAAGGTGTTAATGCTGGAGGTGCCTGCACAGCTCTTCCTAGGGTGTAAAGTTGAAACTTCACGTACCGGTGAGCCCCTGCTCCCCGCACTGCCTCGTGCTCCTTGCTTTCCTTTTTGACCCTGCAGACGAAGCAGACAGACATCTAAAATTGCAGCAGTTCTAACACAACCCCACTTTGCAGCCTGATTTCAGGGTGTGCTCTAGATAACGTTTGAAAAACCTTTATAAAAAGGCGATTATAAAGCCAAGTTGCTGCAGCATGGGGAGATGAACTGCTATTTGGTTTTATTACAAGCGGTTCTTCGTATGTCTTGTGAGTTCTAGGACAGGAATGAATAGCTAGAAGGCAAGGACCTACATTTTCATAATACAGAGCAGATGAGGACAAATAAAGCAGGATGAACTCGAGGAAGACTCAGTCCGCTGGCAAACATTAGAACAAGATGCTTAAAACCTGCATCCTCTGCCAGTTCCTTGACAGCACAGTGCAGTACTGAGCAACCAGCAAACCTTCTGCAGACCACTCCGTAAGAGCTGCTCTGAGCCTATTCCCTGCTAGGCTACTCACTCTCTGCTGAAAAGTTAATAGAAATTAAAACACTAAGTGTCCTGTGTCTAAAACTTGCAACTCTGCTTTGTGAATAAAGAAGTAAAAGAAACATCTCTGAGGTTTATTAGCTGCAAAAAGGATTTATTTCTGCAGAACGAATGGAAAACTCAGCTCATCACCTTCATGAGGGCTGTCTTAGTGAGGTCCCATACTAAAACGTTTTTAAATTAGAGCATTGCATTTTCTGTGCATTGTTTCTGCAGAGGACTAGGCCAACTACAGAAAGAAACTCCTAGGGGCACTTCCATTGCTACTCCACTGACCCAAAGCAGTTTCCAACCATCTGCTGGTGGGTTGGATTGATTTACCTTATCACCTGGGATACTCCTTGCCAGAAACACCTACTGTAATTTAACTAGTCCTCTGGCATTTAACCAGTGGGGTCAGATTAAAAACCCTTACATCTGCCAAGAGGGAGCAGGAATTTGTTGAGTATTGAGGTCATGTGCCTGTGTTTTAGCAAATGAAGTTCTGGACCACTGAGGATAATTAGCAAGCTGTCATTTCAGCCAGAGGTGGAGGTAGGAGAAAGTATCAGGTATCACCAAGCCTTGAAGGAACCGTGTGGTGTGTTTTCTTGCTCAATAAGGGCAAGAAGTTAAGAGGGAAGGAATCTTCCAAGAAGCAGAAGAACTCTAAGGTTAAGTAGACTCCAAATTTGGACTGTTTCAAGCCAGAAAAGCGTATGGTCCAAATGAGGGAGCAGGACATGTGCCTGGCTCAGATACCCTTTGAGACAGGAAAGCCAGCTGGAGGCAGGAAACACAGTGGTATGGGAAAAAGACACAACCCGAGGCAGTGACTTAGAACCTGCCTGAGACTCACCCGTGCTGGAGTTGTAATTGTCTTAATCTCCTCCAGCTCCATAAAACCAACAAACTATTGGTCTTAAAGGCTCAAATACATGTTTATTATCCTCCCTTTAGATTCTCCACAGTCCTTCTAGGCATAAACCATAGGCCAAATCAAATATGCTGGAAGAAAACCTAAGAGTCCTGTTTTCTTTACACTTAGGATGCTATTAATCCACCCTGCGGAAACCTACCACATCACCTTTGGATCCCTTTGCTCCTGGTTGGCCTGGTGGTCCAGGATCCCCCTAGAAAAGATGATCAAGAAAAATCTGCTTGAAATTCTCTTCTGGCAGCAGCATGTATGAAGTATAGTGAACAGCATTTTTTGTGGCCTTGACAACACTGTCTGCGTGGAAACAATTCAGGGGAACAGGCTGTGCCCAGACAGGCCTCCTTGGGAAAAAGAAGCATAGAAATGTCTCTGGAGAGCACTTAGCAGGGTGTCGTTTGTAGAAGTGATGCCCTCCCTCGCTTGGACGATGTTTGTATTCAGGGAAATCATCATTAAAATCCAGATTGCTCCTGGAAAACAATGTTGAGAGGCAGACAGGAAGGAGCCTGGTCTGAGAAAGGCTCTGCACAAGCTATATGCAGAACTAGGACCTATCAGTCCCTCACATCTCAGGGGCTACAGCCTCCCAGAATAAATTAACTACATTGGTGAATACAGCAGTTTTATCTATTTCTAAGCCATATAACAGAGCTCTAGGATTTTAACCCCAAGATTGAATCTGTAATTCTTTCTAGAAGCCTTGCAAAGAATGCACGTATTTCTTACTGCAGCTCTTTCTCCCTCCCTCCCCTTTTGCACCTGTTTTTCACATGCATCTGACACTGAGTAGCTGACAATAAGGCAGTATCTCTTACAGGTAAACCTTGCTGTCCAGGTTTTCCTCTTTCTCCATCAAGCCCTTCTTGACCCTTGAATAAAAAGAGAGAGGGAACATTAGTTTGTTCCTAGGTACTTTGTTGGCAAGAGGGAACAACGACCTCTGACACCCAGTGAGCAGGTGCCCAGCATTACAAGATGCCGATATTCAGGACTCACAATTTGCCTTCAGCAGTTTTTTTTACCACTTCAGGTAAAAACAGCTGAATTACTCCTTCTTATTTGAAATAGTCATGTGAGCAGCGGACAGGGACAACACTCAGTCATGAATCATGACTGTTAGATGAAGGGTGGATGTTCTGTGGTCCAATGCAGATTGGAAGCAGTTCCCCAAGACGATCTATTTGTGAATCACATACTGAGAGAAAGACTCACAGGATAACCAGGGTCTCCAGGCTCCCCTCGATCACCTCTGTCACCAACAGGGCCCTAAAACAACATAGCAAAGGTTTAAGGCCAGTGCAAAAAGAAAAAAAAACCCAACAATTTCTTATCCATAGTATCTATATGGCTTCTGCATGCTCTACAAATCCTGAAGCAACTCAGCTAGAACACCTGCAAAAGTCAGGCCAGGATTGATCAGAGAAGGGATTTAACATCTTACTCTGTCTCCAGGTGGTCCCTGTGGGCCTTCTACTTTCCCATCATCACCTTGTTCTCCCTGTAAATAAAAATATATCAGTATTAATATTGACAACAGCATATACATCAGGTACTTCTGTCCAGACTCGAATGAGTCCTTTCACATCCTGCGTTCCTAAACCAAAGCCTCTATTGAATTTAACAGTTTTCCATCTAAAGGAAGTCTAAATTACTTTTTTTGTTTCTCAACCTGGTGCACATTGAGTCACTGCATGCTTTCTGGTTTCTTTGGTGGTTGTTTCTGCCTGGTGTAACTGTCCTCTCTACAGAACCAGGTGCAAAGAGTTACTTGCAACAATTTCTAAAACTAAACAAGAAGCATGTAATTAGGACAATATGGGAAATAGCTCTCTGTCTCTGAGTTTTATTGCCAACAGTCAAGCCAAACTCTTTAATCAAACATTTTCCCACCCTCACTGAGGGCTGCCTGGGCTGTCAAGGGAACAAGGGTGGTCCAGATGCTCTCCCTGGTTGTTTCCCACTAGAGGCTCTTCCAATGACCAGTCAGGTAGGACCATCCATCCCTCACATACTGTGTTAGAAACTCCACTCATTGCTGGGATGCTCCCCATCAAGATCTCAGAGCTCATGGTTTGGCTGGCAGGTAACATCACCTGGATTACTTATAACTGCAGTCTCTCTAAAACATCCACAGAATGATCCTTCAAGGCTGTCAGCACAGACACTCTTATTTTTTTTTTTTTAATTCAGTTGTAAAAGTCACTTGGGGTCATGCTGTCCTATTTTCTCCGCAGTCCAGCTCTGAGTCGGCAGTTTCTTAGCTCCCCATAGAAGAGAGCTACATTCCAGCTCCTCTGGTTTTTGGCTGCTTCGTATCACTGAGTCTCTGGCACTCTGGCTCCTTAGGAAGGACGTGTTTCACAGGCTCTTTGATGTTGCAGCTACTGGAGAGCAGCACTCTGGGGGATTCTGGCACTGTTTGGACTACTTGGGGTGCTCCTAGAGCCTTGAACATCCAAATCTACAAAGTCAGATATGCAGAGCCAAGGTTTTTGCAGATTTATGCAATTCTCAGTGGTTGTATCAGCCTTTGCTGATGTATTTATAATGAGTCTTTATTTCTGCCACTCTCATCTTCTGTTCGATTTGGAGCTTATGGCAAAGGTACTTGGGCAATTCCTCGGTGATCCAGCCGCGGGAGGTGGTGTTTAGGGTGCTTTGGATGTGATGCTTAGTAGTGACACATCTGGAGCAGCAAGTGACCAGCAGTGAAAAACCTCTTTGACAGTGGAGCTGAGAGCTTGTTTTCTGTAGGAATTGGGCCCATGGCTTGGAGCCAGGGTTGTACCACCATTGAGGGGGACATGCTGACTTCTCCCTGGGGCTGGGCACCAGTATCGCCATTCACAGACTGGAATGTTATGACTCCTTGAGGCTTGATAAATCCCTTGCAGTTATCCTCAGAGGCTGCAAAGAGCTTGCTGCATCTCCCTCCATCACCCGCCTGATGATAATGGTGTTTTCTTTCACAGCTGCTGCAACATTTGCTGGATGAGGGTTGCTAGGATTTCAAACACGTTCTCAGGTGATATTTATAACTTCATGAAGAGAAAACACTAAGGATGGTGAATTGCAGTATACTTGTGTCGGGTTTTGGGGGAGTACGTCGATAGAAGAAATTTTTAGGAAGAAAGTGTACAAGGACTGCTTGAGAACATAATATTGAGCAATGTGAATGGAGATTTGGGTGGCAGAGCAGAAATAAAGTAACATTTAACAGTCTCTCAATCCCTGCCAACAAATCTTTTGTGTTAATGAACTTGCCAGTTAAAGGTGGCAGCAGAATACCTGGCAACTGGCTAACATTCTAGCCACTATCAAAAAATTGGAGGCTACAAGGGAAACAAAGCTACTGCATTTCTCAAGTCTCAAAAAAAAAATCCTAGCATGCATATTAATATGCAGAACTCCTGGCACTGATTGCTTCTGCTCAAAGAGCAGAATATGAACACCTCTCTATCGAGATGCTGAGGCAGGGACGATGAATGTGAAGAGAAAGCTCACTGTTCTGGAGAGCTCTGAAGAGCATCAAGACTTGCAGACTTCCTCCCCGAAGTGGAACAGTAAAGCTCTGTGTCTCCTTGAGTCTAATTCCCCTCCCCACTTCATTCTTTGTCTTCTGAAGGAGAAAACCCTGCAGAGCTGGTCAGCTCTAGGACTACGAGGCTGGGCTCCTCCAGCACTTCCTGATGCCTCAGCTGTTCAAGAGGGAGATGAAAGGTCTGTACTAATTTTATGGAAAGTTGCAGCGAAAAAAAAAAAGTTAGAGTAAAGGGCAACAAAGTAAACATGTTGGGATACAAATGGAAAATGCATGGAGAAGAAGGGAAGGCTTGTTGTTGCTGGCTCCTGTCCCAAAGTGAGATACACTAGTTTGTAATTCTTAAAAGGATCCCATCTGGACTGCTTTAAGCAGCTGCCAAATGCAGGCGTCTGCTCTGAGCAAGGCCTCTTTGAGGTGCTGTAAATGTATTAAATGCAGCAGAATAGCTGGCTGGAATAGCACAACGGAGCTGGATTCCACAACAGGCCTCTCCCCAGCCCACTTAATTCCCTGGAAAAGGGAAGACCTATCCCACCATGAAGTACCCTCCCTCTTCAGCAAAGCTAAATTCATGAGGGTGTTTAAAAACTCACAGAGCTTTCATGCTCCCATCTCCATTTCCTCTTCAGCTTCCAGACTCAGGTTTTCATTTGGGTGCTCACATGTGTGCTTGAGGTTAGAGGTTCAGAGAGAAGGATGCTTCCTACCTTTAGGCTTGGTGCCAGGCACGTCTTTGGGGATAGGAGGGAATGACAGATGAGAGAACATCCATGTGAGACCTTGTGGAGCACCTGGATGCTGCAGGGAGCGGTGCTGGTGGCCCAGCACATGCTGCTGGGCTCCCTTGTTCAGTGGCAGCTGGTTGCCCAGCACGGTGTTAAGGGACCTCCTGTCTCAGTGAAGACATGAGCAAGATCTGCCTATTGATGCTGCTTAACTGACCGGAGTGTTCTCAGTAGAAGGCCTTAGGTGCTCTGGTATCTTTGCCCAGCTTCAGGTTAGATAATTACAGAGCTCATTTTATTATCCTCGACTGAGCTATCTGCACCCTGGTAACCAAACATCCATGTCACCTTTGAGGAAGTGTCCCTCTAGCATCCACATGAAGAAAAGTATTCTTCTAGCTACGTACAATCACTGCTTTTTACTCTTGCAGGCCCCCTGTGATTACACTTTTTTTTTTTTCCTGTGGATCCCAATTATTGTTAGTCCAGATCACTGGCAGAACATATCCCTAATGCATCCTCTGCCATGAGTAAAGAAGGGTCTGGAGCAAGGCTTAATCTCCAGAGCCGTTTCCTTGAGCCCGACTCCCCTCACAGCCGAGACTTGGCTCGTGGCTCTGGTGCTGGCTGCACTTCACCAAATGCAGGAGCTGCAGCTGGGTGAAGAGCAGGACACAGGCAGCTCTGTCAGATCAGCACAGGGAAGAGGAGGCTGCTTCACTGAGCACTTGAGATCAAGGATTTGGAGACCATTTGAAACAATGGGAGCTTTCAAGATGACAACTTCGAATGAAAACGGGTTAAAGGAAGCAGCAGTTGCAATTTAAACAACAGAGATAAATATCTGCATCTTTCTTTCCTCTTCTCCTCTAAAGGCAATGGCTGATTTCACTTTTGGCAGTTACTACTCACAGATTTTGCCAGGATGCTCAAGTTTCTATAGTGCAACTGTGAGAAACCTCTGGCCAGGCTCTCAACAGAAAGCACTCTGGGTTGCGAGCGTTAATTAACCTGAGCTAATTAACGTTATTAACCTGAGCTGGTGCTGCTTGGTTAGCCTCTGCCACTTCTCCAATGATCACTCAGCAGAAATGCCCCTAAGGAGAGCTCCTGAAGTTTGGAAAAGCTAGACGGACACCTAAGAAAGTAGAAGGGGGCAGCACCAGAAAGGCTGGAAATAGGAATTGAACAAAGCAGTGATGGAGATGAGGAGCAGCAGGAGCACAACCAAGCAGTCCTGCTCCATGGGTATGTTCTTCCTCAGGAAACATGAGAGAAAAAGAGGAAAACATTGTTCATCTGACCCACTAACTGCTACAGCACCAAGATTCTGTCCTGCACAGAAGGTTTCCAGGCAGAGCAAGTGTAATCAGGTGTCCTGACATTCAGGATCCTGAGCTGGAGAGATGCACGCGCAGCCAAGGCAAGGATGAGCCCTTGGGATCTCGTCTCTGAGTCTCACGAACTCCAGCTACAGGCCACGAAGCCCCAGCCTGCAGATATATGTCTACAATCCCACCCACGTGCAAATCCCCCGTGCAGAGGGAATGCCAAGAGCTTGCTCAGCTGCGGCGACAGCAACACGAAGTGCAACACGAAGGAAAACCAGGAGCGAGTTCACGGGACTTCTCCTCATTTGATGGGGACCCCACATCCACCATCTCCCATTGCTCTCACATCCCTTCCCGCACGGGGGGCCGGAGCGTCGCTGCAGCTACTGGAGATGCGTGACTGTCTCCAGCAGCCCTGCGAGTCCAGCCGAAGCCCGCGGGGACGGTCCGGTCCTCGGAGTGCGGAGCAGCCGGCTCTGCCGACAGGAAACCATTAGAGCATGAGTCACCTCTCCAGCCTGAACTGGTTATGGCGGCCCTGACTCAGCAGAAGGGGAACAACGCGAGGGGAACGCGGAGCAACGCTCCGACCCAGCCCAGCGCGGCAAGGGGCTTGTGAGGGCCGTGGGGGGACAAGCAGGGATGTGGGAGGGAGCGAGAGAAACGGGGCAAGGGCAGCAGAGAGGAGCCCAGTGCTGCCTCGCTTACAAACCGCTGCCAGCTGATTTCCCGAAGATGGGCTGGTTTGTGCTGGCTGTTCTAACCCGGTATCAAAATGCTGCTTAACTTTCATCTTGGGGATGAAGCAGAACTTGTGCAGGAGGAGAAGGACGTGTCCCCCACGCCTGCCCGCTGGCCCTTCTGCGGATGCGGTGGCACACGGTGTCCAGCGGGATGTGCAG